TTCCTCACAACTGGCTTAGTCCACAATTTGTCCCTGTTTATGTCCAGCTTTTTCACTCACATCATCATGGAACGAACTCTGTGAGAGTCCAAAAATTCTAAATGTCAGGTTAACCCGACAAACTTGGATTACGCGGAATTAATTCTTCTGTTGTTCGATGATCATGAAGCCGCACAAAGTACCCGAACAAAACATAAGAAGTTGCTTTCCGCTGTGGCATTCTTCATGTACCCTCGCGTGCAAGTTCTTCAGAGATTTGCACGTTCAAGTATTCCCGCGAAGATTCTGAATGAGAAACTTGAATATGGGTTTATTTATCTCGGGGACCACGTTAGATGTGAATTTAATGTGACGAATGAGGCAGTTGCCTGATTTATGGAGTTGTGCACTATTGGTCGACTGGCTCCACTTCTTGAGTCAGACACAAGGGCACTGCTGTAGGTGGGAATAATGGGAGAGAATGCATCAGCGAAAAAATTTTGTGGACAAAGGTGTATGTCAAAGAGGAAATTTTCGCTTCTTCCCTATTATTTCGATTAATGTCACCATTGAGCTTGATACAGTTTTGATTTGGCCACTCTAGATAGATGCCTTTGATAATCTTCAAGTAGTTGAGTCTCGGCGCCTAATCGTCAATCAACAGGCGACGTCAGCACCTATGAGACCACTAAAAACTAGGGGTTTGGAGTAAATAACAGACACTGAATGCCTGAAAAACAAAGACAGATGAGACTGAGCCATGGATTTGAACTTTGTATGTTCAAACAATGAGAAAATGTAATGTATATAATGAAAGAATTCATTTACACGTGCTTGGAATTTTATCAAATTCCCTGGTTGAAACCAAAAAAGATGGACGCAAAGCACATATATTAATACGGAACCAAAAATAACAGAGTCCACTGATTTTCAGAACAGACTGTGCTCCACTTTTATACTTTGGTCAAACCCAGCAATTAACAGTATTTTCTTGCATACCACTTTCATTCATGTTTACACGTTCTTTAAGGAAGGGGAGCGGTTACTGGACAACACTTTTGTTCGTACATGTATCCGCATTGTGGAAAAACTAGCGAGTCTTCACAATGCAGCGGGCATGCTTCATTAACACAGCCAAGTTATTGGCTTGGACTGAGGACGAAAATAGAGGGTTTAGTGCGCAGAACCAGCTGGATAGATGGAGAAATCCGGTTGGTTGGTTATGCTTCCAGGAAAGATATGTGATGGTTGTGCAGTGAATGTTTGGAGTATGGAATAATATGATGAGCTGAAAGTGGATCCAATGCACGGGCCGGGCCGTGAACGAAAGGCAGGTCTGATGTGTAATATATGATCAGGGAAGTGACCGAGGTGGGCGAGATTTTGATGATCAGTCTGTCAGTTTTTTCAAGAAGGGCTAAGCTTCTTGTCTGTTTTAGTCTCTGTGGAAGCTGAATTCTTTCGTTAAACAATTGGTGGTTAGGTCCTCGGTTTTGTTGGACGAAAGAATCAGTTCGGCGTGAGCGGATTTGATATTCTGACTCGAAACCGACTGAGTGATTGTGTTTAGGGGGTTATGGTGATATGTTAGCTATTGGATGTGCTGCTTTTCCGAGTGCCCATCTAGACGATTTTGGGTAGCACGAGAAGTTGCAATTCCATGTTTTGACCTTTAGCTGAAGTGGAGGCATCGGAGTTTGGTAGGATTGTCAGGGTCTTGAGAGGTGTGGCAAACGTACTCATCTCCTCGCAACGATGCGGACAGAACATTTGTGCTAAGAAACAACCGTCTATCTGGGCACCTTTGCCATGATGAAATGATTTATTATTTTTCTTTCCAACGGGTATGCAAGTATACGCATATAGCTAACCCCAGGGATGGAGAAGAAGGCATGATATTCACGTCAAGGGAAAAACATTTTTTGAACGAAATCTGCCTGACATGTGTATTATATATGGTCGGATGGTGGTAAAACCAAACCAATTAGATTAAAGAGGTGCAAAATGTGCGCGTTAGCCAGAACAGAGCTCAAATGGCGTATGAAAAGTTGTACAGCCGGGAAGGCAGTCATTCAAGATTGGAGGCAATTTTAAATATATATGAAGTTGCAACACATAATAATCTGTTGTAATTAGCTTAGCATCTTGTGGTTCGTCTTCCAGGCTGTCCGAGGCTAATTCAACGTCGGCAGGTTGTTGATTTTGTCAGAGAACGAAGACGTCTAATTGGCGTAATGAGCGAACATATCGATGACGCGTTGCACTTCCATGGCAGTACGCGGAGAAGCTTCAATCATCGACTGCAGTTGCCAAAACGCCCCTTAGAACTGTTATTCATTCAAACTGGCTGGTGCCCGCTCTATTCTCATACTTCCTCCAACAAAATGGAAACTATCCGTGAGCCTACATCTGCATGATTCCCTGTGCCAATCTCTGTTCCACCCAGAAAACGCTGCCGCGGAAATGCGAATTCGTTCTCCGACCCTTGGCGACCGTTACGGGGTTGTCCATAAACCGAAGCATGTCAGTGCGATGATGGCATGGCACTTTCATACCCAGTGAGACGGCACTCCCGCAACTATTTTCTCCAGAATCTCGACCGCAACCCCTCAAGCCTGTAGTCACAACTTCAAGCAGTTCCCATCCAGCCACGTCTCTGGGATGAGCTCTTCCGTACCCAATACATTTTCGCTCAGATTTGGCTAGCCTGGCGTTCCTGCTGCAATTTCGACTTGTTTGTTGCACAAGTTCAAATCCGTATACGGAGTTCAGGTTGCCCTATGTATTAGCAACTTGCCCCTATCCAACCTATTCCCCTGAACCTGATATCCCTACAACAGTGCAACCAGTGAGTCTGCTTGCTTTCAGATTAAACCACATTGTTGAGATAAAACTTGTCATGTGCTCCCAATTCGAATTATCCCATCTCTATCTCCACTTTTGCTCGTTTTGACTCCGGCCATTTACCTAACCACCCAAGGTCACTCATGGCCAGCAATGGTTTTCCGTTGTAGTTCATGCCACCTGACTGTCTTTGATCTAGTCGAACCTCATGCCCATTTTTTCCAATGAGTTGGGAAATAACCTATTATTGCTATATCATCGGATGTTCCACACTGTTTGTGACAGTGTCCTCTTTTTGTGCAATCCGCACCCCCACAAGTCCCTCAGTCATGCTCCATTCTGACTGTAAAACTATGATCATGCCAGACGGTATGCCACCCACAAGTTGGGAATAAGCATTATTATTATTATCCCCCTGTGCTCCCGAAAGTAGGCCGGCGAAACCAGCTGCGTCTCCGGACAGCAGTTTTTATTCGACCACCACAGGCCTCTCGCCCACCAAAGGCAGGGACGCCCTGGAGGAGGCAAACCCCACATGCAAGCAGCGCCCAAACTACGTGGAGCTATCAACGCTTATATCCGCATTCGAGAGCACAGCAGCAGCCGCGCGCTCGTCAACAAAGTCACATCCTCTGAACTGGACTGAGTCAGATGTGCGGGGACAAGAAGCGAAGCCTGTCTTCAGCTCCACTCCGTCAAAAGCGGTCTCTCTGCTTGGAGACACAACCGTCGCCCAGGACCCCGACACTCAAAGCCGTAAACATGACTACAGCCATCCGGAAAATCCCTCGTACATCCAGTTGGCCACGCTGATCGCTGGAGGAACGGGTTTTCACACAAACGCGGAAGAAGAGCGACTGCAGCCAAACAAGCTATAAAAAACTCGTCATATTAGAAAACTGCTGGCTGCCTTCAAGATGCAGTCCTCCGGGAAAACGAGTCTGTTGGCAGCGCAACCAAAATCATCACTTCGTGGTGCCGCCACCCATCGCTCAGGGCCCCACAGCGACACTTTTCCGGTTAAACCGCGACAAAACTCCCAAGGATCCAAAAAGGCGAAAGCTTGCAGCAAACCATTGATCAACAGCAAATCTGGTCGACGAAAAGCGATGCTAAAAGAGCTACAAACAGCATCTGTCGGAATTTTCGCCCATGGGGAAAAACTCTGTCCTCCAAAGCCAAAAAGCCCGAGCAAACCGAGCTCTCACGGAACGAAAAAAACCCGCAGGCGAAAAGCACCCCCAGAAACCACAAAGGCAAGAAGCAGACAACATCGCCCCAGAGGCCCCCTCGGAGCCTTGGACTCAGACTCAAACCTGGTGCACAACTATTAAGTCTGTTGACCACCCTGGTCACTCAACTTTCGGCTCCTCACTCCCGGAGGCAGCAGAGACAGTCATTTCAACAAAATCAGCGATGTTAAACAGTCAGCTTGCCTTGAACAACCGTCCATAACCGCACTCACAGAAACTCGGCTCACACCAGATGTCTCTGTCGCTGAGATCTCGATAAACGGTTACTCGATTTTTCGAGCTGACTCCAAACGCCCTCGTTTTGAGGGTTGCTCTGTATTTACATTCGGCCCTACCAATCCCGATTGTCCTCTCTGATACTACACCTGCACCCTTTTGCGATGCACTGTGGGTGCAAATCCCGCTGTGCGGGTCCGATTCTCTCCTTCTCGGTGTGGTCTACCGTAGCCCTTCGGGTCCACCTGAAGTTGACCAATTCCTCATACAAACCCTTGAGAAACTCTCCTCCGACCACCACTCCACTCATCTCCTGCTGGTAGGTGACTTCAACGCCCCAAAGGCCTCTTGGATGGAACTCCAGTGCGTCGAATCAGGCGGACCTTTTGCAGCGGCGCTGATTGAAGTCGTTCAGCAGAGCGCTTGGACTCAACATGTCGTTGCACCCACCAGATACCGCGCAGGCCAACTACCATCCCTCCTGGATTTGGTCATCACCAAAGAAAGACACTTCGTTGATCGGATAACAATTAACGCTCTGCTGGGGCATAGCGACCACTGTGTGCTGACCTTTGATTTCACCTGCTATTGAGCCAGAAAGCCCGAACCTCAATCGTGGTTTCGATACTTCTGCCGTGCAGACTTCTCAGGAATTCGCATCGTCCTTGAACAAATCACGCTGGGACCAGCTCCAGCGGAAGAACATATATGACCATTGTCCAGAAAGTTCACGGGGCTGACGCGACGTTCGTCCCAGAAGAACCAGCACGCGCTCGCATGGACCGCAGGCGGGAAAAAAGGATTCGGCGACTTCTGGAAAAAATATCCCAACTCTTTTTCAAAAAGTTGACTACAGGGGATACAGAAGATGAGCTGGCATTTCGTAAGATGTGGAACCGCTGTAAATCAGAAATCCGCTTATGGAACATACAACAACAAGCCACCATTCTGGACCTCGCTCGAAAAAACAAAAGCAGCTTGTTCAAATACATGAGGCATCGCCGCAGAAACAAGCCATCCGCCTCATTCTTGAGGAACAGAAATGCAGAACAGACGAATGACCCAGAGAACACTGTGCGTGTCTATACTCAGCCCCAGCGTCCTCTTGCAATAGATCAACCCATTCTGCGCGTTAGGGCCCGACGAGGTCCATCCAAGGGTCCCGAAATAAACGTCCTCCACACTGGCGAATCATTTACACTTGGTGTTTCGTCAATCGCTTGACGAAGGCCG